TGTAAAATGTATTGAAGATTTGAAGGGTGCGCAGCCATTTGATTTCTTATACGTTAAGCTTATTCCTCATGATTTCAATTCATGTGATGTCAAAATCGTTCGAGCATCAAATCGCAACAAAATTCGCTCTTGAGACGAATAAATCAATGATGAGGCCATGCCAGAGCGATAAATAGAAGATTATGCCGCATGTGTTGATACTCTTCAATTCCTGATATGTGAGGTACACCGTACAAGAGCACCTTATATTTTTGCACACAGCTGTAAAGCTGGATGTAGTTATTAAGGGTACCCACTTGATGTATTGTCCCTCCCTGCCTTTTCAACTGTTCGTTCATTTGCCCAGACGTAGTACTCTTCCGGTCCCTCAAGTTCAAATTGCAAGAAAATTCTCTTTTTCTTTCAAAAGGCATCCCCATTCCACTACAACGCTGGGCTAGCTTAGCATGAAAAGTGATTACATTAGACAAAGTATTCGTAGAATGATTGAGCTAAATCTCAAATGATAAAAACGCCAAGCATAAAACCAAAAAGTTAAGGAAAAATTATACTCGTATAACCTAGCTAGTTTGGTTGTGCTAATGATTAGCCTAAGGTTATGTTATTGCACATGTCTAGGGGTGGAATGGTCTAGTCCGGGGTTGGGTTATGTATGCGAGTGAGAATCGATTCAACATAAAATTGAGCATAATCATACTCGGCGCCGCAACCTCATCACGACCAAAACCAGGAACGTAACATCAACGAAACCGCAACGGCGGCGCATTACACGGCAACTGGCCGCAACGGGACCACATCAGCCTTCATCACGCTGCTACCGGATACACAACGACCGCATTCCGACCATGTGCGAATTTGAAAATATTTCACGCTGCAACGACCGTAATACACAATGTCTAGCGAGAAAGAGTGAATACTTAAATCATTATCTCTTACTCCGTATCTTTTTAACTCAAGCTATCATGCATCTCAAAAGTTCCTTCAAGCTATGGGGCTCAAATTCTCAAAGCTATTGTTTGACAAATTCGTTTAACGAACAATCACCGGCCCTCCTGATATGTAATACGGAGTATATTTATATGCAGTGGCGGAACAAAACAAAATTTAAGGGGGGCGAAAAAAATCGAACCGTTGGTTAGAAAGATCTATAATTTGTACCTTTTTTTGGTTAAATATAGACATTTATTCATTTTTATACTCGTTTTGTTAGTGCCTAAACAAAATATTAGAATTTGTTTATCTAACGAGTTTATTTCGATTTAATACGCTTGTCCTTTTACTTTACAATAACAAGGTTTAAATAGAAATATAGTTAAACAAGTAGAGGAAGATAAATTAATAATATATACTAGTATAAGTTACTAACTTATCAAGAAAATTATGTAGTATTATGTTATTATTCTCTTTTCAAAACAACGTTACTTTTAGGTTATTTATTTTTTAAAAGGATATATAGGTCTTGATAAACTCCTTATAAAATAATATAGGTCTTTGAAGAGGAAAGAAATAGTTAAAAGTCATTTTTTACTGTTTTTGTACTAAAAAGAAAACGTATATAACATGTTAATATTCGAAATAGCAATAAGCCAAAAACTAAATATTTTGAATTGAAAAAATTAAAAATGTAACATAAAAGTGCAAGAAACCATGCAAGTAGGAACATTTTTAAAACTAATAAGGATGTTTTTACTTGGACTGTAATTTGCTGGTCTGGTCTGGTCTGGTCTGGTCTGATCTGGTCTGAACTGGTCTGGTAAGGTCTGGTTTCTTTGTATTTTTATAACTACCCAAGTCTGGTCTGGTCTGGTCTAGTCTGAACTGGTCTGGTCTGGGACAAATTACAGTCCAAGTAAAAACATCCTAACATCCCGTAAACTGAGAAAGTAGAGAAAGTTTAATACGGTAGTACGTCGTTAAAAAAGAAGAGAAGAGCAAGTTTTATTTGATGTTAAAAAAACAAGGGCAGGGCGGGATTCAAACCCGCGTCACCCAACAAGATGTAGGCACTTCAACCGTCCGTGCTACTCGAAATGTATGCCAGATTACGGGACAGTTAATATTTTTTGCTATTCTTAAGTCGGGGCTGAACATAAACATATACATATATATACACAAGAACCTCCGGCAAACGGGGGCGGCAGCACCGGATCGCTCCCCCCTAGCACCGCCACTGTTTATATGTAGCTAACCCATATAAATTGATCAGGATCTTTAATTTCTACAATTGTTGCATAATCAAACCAGTCCGGATATTACAGGATATTATGCATTTTTTTGCTGAAAGTGAAAACATCTCGATTAATCTGCAGGATGTTTTCACATATACCGAGTATGGGATCAGGATCCAATGCCTTGCGGCATCCGACGGCGGGGAAGCGACGAGGAGGACCTCGAGATCATCAGTGAAGGGGTAGAGCCCAAGATCTTCGACCGTCCAATTTCCGATTGAACGGCCTGGAAGAGCCAGACACACTGTCTTAGCTTCTTTAAAGCAAGGCAGAGACTCCGGATCCCCGATTATGATATAACGAGAATAATTACGAACTACTACCCCGCTCCATTAACATTGAGACATGAGAAGGTGAAGTGATTACATTACATTATTAAAAAAAAGTGGATTTATGTGATTAATATTGAATTCATAGAGTAAGATTAAAGTAAGAATGATTTAGAACCATACAAACATATCAAATTTAGGCTATGTTTGGCACACAAAAGACTCTAGCTTCTAGTTTCTCTATTCTTTAAAAAGATCTTAAAAGACTCTAGTTGTATGTTTGGCATGACATTTTTTAAGAACTTTTCAAAAATTAAAAGATCTTTTTTGAGATGCTATCAGGTGTAGCATCTGAGAAAAGCTCGTGACTTTTAGTTTAAATTAGTCCTAACAGCTTGTATACCAAACCAAACTAAATCAAACAGTCAGCTTTTTACCAAACAGCCATCACATTTTCTTTTTAAGATCTTTTCAGTCACTAAAAGCTAACAGTTACTAAAAAGCTCGTAAAAGTATCTTTTTAGCTAGTTGTGCCAAACATACCCTTAGTATATACAAGTACAATCTTAATGAGACGGATCGAAAATAAAAAGATGAGACAATCTATCAAGAAATAGGTAGTAGATGATAAATAAAACATATATAACTATGAATAAAGAAATAATTACATATTTATAACTAAAATAAAGATTCCTTAGTAATTGAATAATTGAATAATAGTAAATTGGTAACTTTTGTTAGTAGCAACTATTAATCATATTTAATTTGTGTAAATAAATTTTATTTTAGTAATATTTCTGAAAAAAATGTCATGAATAAACACTCCCCGAGATTTGTTTCCTCGAAAATACTGCTCCGCAATATTGTAATTGTACAATAAAATGAGTAGGGGAAAAAGAAAAAATGTGATTAATTCATTAATTAATTAGTCTCACTGCACTCAATCCGGACCGTCGATTTAAAGCAACAGCTAGACGGCCTTCAGCAGTGAATCATTCCTTGGAGATTCGATGCAAGTACTGAGTTAGACCGCGTTTTACGACCCTATAAAAGCAACCACCCTCCCGTCCTTAACTAGCATAATATAGCCAGGGAAAATATACAGATACAGATACATTATTAGAAGCTTGAAAGAAGCTAGCTGGCTTTCTTTTGATCGAGTTTAGTGACAGATACAGATACATTATTAGATCGAAAAAGTATGGGGATGAAGTTTGGGTTTTCTCTACTGGGGCTGTTCAAAGGGAAGAGAAGGAAGGAACGTCGGAATTACTACGAGGAGGAGATGCAGGTTGGGAGGAAGCAGGCGTACAGAGTGTGGCCGAGCGACGAGGACCGCCTCAATTGGGTGGCCGACCCCCAGATCGATGCCAAAGCCACCGCTTTCCTCAACGCCATGAGACAGCAGCTCCGGGACGCCGCCGCTGATCATCCCAACGCCTCAGATTAATTATCCAACGCATGGATATATCTATATAATATGCATTTTTTATATGTTAAATTAGCTAAGCTAGCAATTTATTTTACTACTATGTACTAGCATACTTTGTATTTAGGTACACTATTGGTTGGGGTATTTCATAGGTGAACAATATTGATTTTTTTACTTACTTATCTGTATTTATTATATTGCTATTAGATTAACGAATTATTATTACATTTGAATTAAATAATGTATTTCTATGTACTGCTATAAACTGAGGCAGTATGTATTAGAATAATCATAGGGTATAAACTCGTATATCTCTATTGATCAAGATTGAAGTAATATATATACAAGATGTTCCGTAATGATTCAAGCCCTTAACCCATAGTAATATACAAGTAAATACAAACAAATATAAAATGGGCTAAGCCCTTAATCCACTAACACGCTAACACCCCCCCTCAAGTTGGAGCATGGGGTTCAAAAATGCCCAACTTGCCAAGAAGGTAGAGAAATTGACGCTTGCCTAAAGCTTTAGTGAAGATGTCAGCAAGTTGATCCGTAGTAGAAACATGACGAGCAACGAGCAACCCATTCAGAATAGCATCGCGAACATAGTGGCAATCAACTTCAATGTGCTTGGTGCGCTCATGGAATACCGGGTTATGTGCAATATAAAGAGCGGAACGACTATCACAAAATAAGGACATAGAACTCGAATGATCAATGCCAAGACTAAGAAGAAGACCCTTAGCCCATTTTAGTTCGGCCGTGGTATCCGCCATGGACCTATACTCGGCCTCGGTTGAGGAGCGAGACACAATGTGTTGTTTCTTTGTCTTCCACGAGATGGGAGAATCTTCCAGAAAAATTATCCAGCCTGTAAGAGAACGGCGCGTAAGGGGACAGCTGGCCCAATCCGAATCACACCAGCCTGTAAGAGTCAAATCACAAGTAGAGCTGAGAAGAATGCCCTGACCCGGGGAGCCATTAAGGTACCGAACAACCCTTAAGGCTGCCATCCAATGATCTTGTCGGGGAGCCTGCATAAACTGAGATAAAATATGAAAAGCATAGGCCAGGTCTGGTCGGGTAAAGGATAAGTAAATAAGACGACCAACAAGCCGGCGATATGATTCCGGATCAGCCAAAAGAGCGCTCTGAGATAGAGCCAAGCCATGATTTTGTTCAATAGGGAAGGCCACAGGTTTTGCCCCAAGAAGACCGGCTTCAGAAATAATGTCCAGTGTATATTTGCGCTGACAAAGGAAAAGACCATCAGTGCTTCGAGCCACTTCAATCCCAAGAAAATACTTAAGAATACCAAGATCTTTCATATGAAAACATTTATGCAGATAAGATTTAAAGCGAGAGATTGCACCACAATCATTGCCTGCGATAATTAAGTCATCAACATAAATGAGGACATATAATTGAGCCGACCCCTGATGCATAGTGAAGAGAGAATAATCAGAATAAGATTGCCGAAATCCATATTGCTTCAAAGAAGCAGTCAATTTTGCAAACCAACATCGAGGTGCCTGACGTAAGCCATATAATGACTTCTTCAGTCGGCACACCTGCCCAGGCCGAGAAGAAAGAAATCCGGGAGGAGGTTTCATGTAGACCTCCTCATCCAAGTCCCCGTGAAGAAAAGCGTTATGAACGTCCAGTTGATGTAATTCCCAGTTTTTAGCGGCAGCAGCAGCTAAAACCATGCGAACAGTAACCATTTTCGCCAGGGGGGTGACGTGCACTTTATCGTGAGGTGCACTCAAAGTAATAATACAATACGACACTAATACGTAGTATAGTGTAGTAAGGTTCGTATCCACAGGGAAAGGAATACTTTTCTTCTTACAGAAATAGATAAGTAACAATAAGGGGGGTTTATATTTGGTTGATGAACTTTAAATTATATTTAAATACGAAGATGAACGAGTTATGTGTTTTAATTAATGAGAAGAAGACTTGGCTTTGCTTTTATCCACTTAATGAAATGTTCGTCGATCCCGGTTATATCTTTAACTATCTTCCTCTCGAATACTCAATCGAGGAGTATATCCAATTCATCGAGGGTAGTTATTAATAACGAGACGCGTTCATTAATAAAACTTACTACCGAGTTAATATAGAACACGCGCCGTATATTCACTCGATAGTAGCAATAAAATCAAGATGAAAACGATTGAGATTGATAACCTCAACACAAGTGGTTTATTGGTTTAATCAATATAATTAATTCCCCTTGGTTTATTAACCATGAAACGCATGCATTAATAACCCAAGTTTACTACCGCGAAAGGACCGAATTAATAACAAGTGTATTAGTCGACCGATTCTAGTAATAATTAATATATGAAACAAAACTAGTTGATCCTTTAAGTAATGTTCAAAATATTAATATGAAATATGAATAGGAATTAATTAATACTCAAGGAAGAATATTAAAGAAGATGAATCCTACTATAGTTAATATCAAGATGTTAACTAATTGTCATCTTAGTAACACTCCCCGATATTAACGTAGAGGAAGAAATAACTATTACTATAACTAATGTCAAGATGTTAACTAATTGTCATCTTAGTAACACTCCCCAACATTGATATAGAAATAGTATTTAAAGAAAGAATTAATATTCAAGGAGGAAGATTAAAGATAATAACTCACAACTTACAAATTCATTAAGCTTCAAAGTAGCAAAACCAAGATGGAAGAGTTTAGCTCCTCATTTGGAGACTAAACATGATGAAAAATATAAAGAAAGAACTTGTCTAAACTGAGCTAAGAAGTATATGTGAATTGGTGATTTTATTGTGAAGGAAAGGGGTGTATTTATAGGCTTTTGGGAGCTGCAGGGTCTGATACCTGATCGGGTATATAGGATACCCGATCGGGTATCTTAGGAAATTGCCCATAAAGTCACTTTTCTGGGCATACCCGATCGGGTATGTCGGCATACCCGATCGGGTATGCGACAAATCTTCACAAAAATTTGCTCCCACGATCATTTGTTCCTGGATTTGATTTGGACAATCGAATCAAGTGAATACCCGATCGGGTATAGGCAATACCCGACTGGGTACATGAGTATTTTTTCCAAATCGAAATCTTTCTTGTCTCCTTGCACTTTCCTTGATCTTTTAAGGTCCAATCTTGATCCCTTCGATGATCTTTGACTTGTTTAGCTCAGAATAATCCTAATCTAAACAAATTACAAATAAAAATGAAAATAAAATATTACACCAAAAGTGTGTAATTTCCACAACTACAACTAATAAAAACTAGTTAAAAATACAAACATACAATCGGAAATTACATGAATATCAACTCCCCCACAGTTAGCTTCTTTACTCGTCCTCGAGTAAAGTCAAATGTTTAACACTTCCAAATCCTCAAAAGTTCAACAATCAACAAGAAAAGGCAAAAGACCACCAAGGATAAAACATTATTTTTTTACATTGAGTTTTTAGCTCAATAAAAAAAACATCTTCTTGGGTTTCATGGCCTTCTATGCTCATTTTTTTCTTCACCTCTTTTATTCTTCTTTTCCGTCAAGAGATTAAATGATGTTCTGCAAAAACAAATATATCTCTCATATCTCTCATTTTGCCTAGGAGCCTTTTCAGGTTTTCATCCTAGCATCTCTTTTTGTTTTTCCATCCTTTCCATCTCACTCATTTTTTATAAGCCCTTTTTGCTTAGATTGCCTATTTTTGGGTTTTCAACCTAACTAGCATTTCTTTTTTTTCTTTTTTTTTTGTGAAAAAAAATAATGCAAGTTACAAGGTAGAAAAATTAATTGCGTACCAATGAGTGACTCCCCCTCACTTAGCTCGGAGCACTGTCCCCAGTGCTTGTTTTTGCCATCACTTTTTTTTTTTGGGTTTTTTTGAAGATATAAAATTGTGGTTTGGGAGAGGGGTGAATGTAAGAGTTTATGGATTAGAGGGTATGTGGAGTAAGAGGAAAGTGATGAGAACAAGATTATGATTGTTTTGTGTGTGGGGTTTGGTGGAGGATTTGGATAGATTTTTAAAGAAAGAAGGATATGGTTATGAGGGTTGGGGTGATTGGGGTGGAATTGGATGGTGTTTTGAAAGATTAAAGATGAAAAGAGGTGAAAAAGAGGTTGTGTAGGGGAAAGAAAAAGAAAAAAAATAAAATAAACACACAATGATGTACCTCACTTGGGTTGCCTCCCAAAAAGCGCCTTATTTAACGTCGTGGCACGACACCATCTTTTTTAATTTCAGTCGTTTAGGCTTGGATCGTGATGATCCCTCTTCTTCACATTTTCACCCGAGTGACTCTTATAGAAAGGCTCAATTTGTCGACCCTTTATTTTGACAATCTTTCCAGGATCAAATATCCGGATTTCTATCACTTCATATTGTAAGAGTGAGGGTCCATGATTTTCACTTAGCATGGTCAATCGAAGGGGTTTTGATCTGGGTGGTATAAGAGGGAGTATGAAATGTTTGCGTAACTCCACCGTTATTCCCTGCATATTTGTGAACGAAGAGAAATCTAAATGATACTCACAATTGCTGAAGATTTCGTAGATGTCTTTGTCGTTCTCCACCCTTTGAGTTTCCCTTAGAGTCTCAGAAAATGGTGGCATGATTTCAGGAATGGCCGGTGGTGGAGTTGAGTTTTGAGGTTCCTCCTCCAGTTGAGCTTTCTCCGTAAGCTCCTCTTCTTCCTCCTCCTTGCCCATGTGGTTCACAATGCTTGGCATTTGTTTCAACTGATTGTCCAAGTTCTGTTCGTTGGACACTGTTTCTTGCGGGCATTGTGACATATTTTGTTGCATATTCGTCACATTGATAGTGAGAGCTCGGATCATGTCTTCAGTGGACATGCTGGAATAAGAACTTGAGTATGGGTTATATGTGTTGGAGAATGAATCATACCTCTCTTGGAAACCAACATCATTCCTTTGTTCAAAGTATTCTTTTTGAAGCTCTGGGCAAAAATCCGTAAGATGTCTGTGTGACATGCAAATGTTGCATGTATGGACATCTTGAGATTTTGAACATGAATTAAACTCCTTTATTAGAGAAGTCAAGTCGGAAATTTGACTCTCTAGGGATGATGTGTTGGTATCCATATACTCATGAAAGCTCAGAAAATAGAAAACTAAGATTTTTATTTTTTTTATTTTTATGAGATAAAATAAAAAGAAAAATAATTGCCTTTCCCCGGCAACGGCGCCAAATTTGACGTGCACTTTATCGTGAGGTGCACTCAAAGTAATAATACAATACGACACTAATACGTAGTATAGTGTAGTAAGGTTCGTATCCACAGGGAAAGGAATACTTTTCTTCTTACAGAAATAGATAAGTAACAATAAGGGGGGTTTATATTTCGTTGATGAACTTTAAATTATATTTAAATACGAAGATGAACGAGTTATGTGTTTTAATTAATGAGAAGAAGACTTGGCTTTGCTTTTATCCACTTAATGAAATGTTCGTCGATCCCGGTTATATCTTTAACTATCTTCCTCTCGAATACTCAATCGAGGAGTATATCCAATTCATCGAGGGTAGTTATTAATAACGAGACGCGTTCATTAATAAAACTTACTACCGAGTTAATATAGAACACGCGCCGTATATTCACTCGATAGTAGCAATAAAATCAAGATGAAAACGATTGAGATTGATAACCTCAACACAAGTGGTTTATTGGTTTAATCAATATAATTAATTCCCCTTGGTTTATTAACCATGAAACGCATGCATTAATAACCCAAGTTTACTACCGCGAAAGGACCGAATTAATAACAAGCGTATTAGTCGACCGATTCTAGTAATAATTAATATATGAAACAAAACTAGTTGATCCTTTAAGTAATGTTCAAAATATTAATATGAAATATGAATAGGAATTAATTAATACTCAAGGAAGAATATTAAAGAAGATGAATCCTACTATAGTTAATATCAAGATGTTAACTAATTGTCATCTTAGTAACACTCCCCGATATTAACGTAGAGGAAGAAATAACTATTACTATAACTAATGTCAAGATGTTAACTAATTGTCATCTTAGTAACACTCCCCAACATTGATATAGAAATAGTATTTAAAGAAAGAATTAATATTCAAGGAGGAAGATTAAAGATAATAACTCACAACTTACAAATTCATTAAGCTTCAAAGTAGCAAAACCAAGATGGAAGAGTTTAGCTCCTCATTTGGAGACTAAACATGATGAAAAATATAAAGAAAGAACTTGTCTAAACTGAGCTAAGAAGTATATGTGAATTGGTGATTTTATTGTGAAGGAAAGGGGTGTATTTATAGGCTTTTGGGAGCTGCAGGGTCTGATACCTGATCGGGTATATAGGATACCCGATCGGGTATCTTAGGAAATTGCCCATAAAGTCACTTTTCTGGGCATACCCGATCGGGTATGTCGGCATACCCGATCGGGTATGCGACAAATCTTCACAAAAATTTGCTCCCACGATCATTTGTTCCCGGATTTGATTTGGACAATCGAATCAAGTGAATACCCGATCGGGTATAGGCAATACCCGACCGGGTACATGAGTATTTTTTCCAAATCGAAATCTTTCTTGTCTCCTTGCACTTTCCTTGATCTTTTAAGGTCCAATCTTGATCCCTTCGATGATCTTTGACCTGTTTAGCTCAGAATAATCCTAATCTAAACAAATTA